TGGAGGGATTAGTACCAAACCTGCACACGAAAATCACTCCCTATGAAAGCAAAAGACTCGGCAGGAGATGCAACATTCCCCCGATGAAAAGCAGGGGCGCCATGAGTACATTGAGAGATAACACAATAAGAGTCCAGGGCCCTCGACTCTTCAGTTGCCTCCCAGCATACAGAAGGGGGGATTACCGATAGACCCCTGGCTGTCTTCAAGAAGGCACTAGACAGGCACCTAAAGTCAGTACCTGACCAACCAGGCTGTGGTTCGTATGTCAGCTTGTGTGCCGCCAGCAGTAACAACCTGGTTGATCAGACCCTGGTCCACCATGAGGCCTGGTCTGAGACCAGGCCTCATGATGGATCAGTCTAATATGCATTCACAAATTCATTGATATTATTTATACAGTTGTGCAGTAGTCTGAATAACAGTAAATCTTCTGTTTTTTGTGTGAATAAAAATTCAATATGAAAAGTAAGTGTAATATAAGAGGGGCGTGAAGACATGACTAATGAACAGAGAAAGTTATTTTAGTGCCAAGAATGTCTGCACTATTTATTCTGAACCCTATTTTGAAGTTGGCCTTTCTTGAATTTTGTGTGAAATTGGCCAAATTTCTAATTTCTGATCACTTTATTGGGTAGTTGAAATAGGTAAACTGGTGGTTTCTTATACTCAATCGATAGAATGAAAGGAGTTCTAGCACAGTAGTTATGAATTTGGTTGACTGGAACAATGGAATTGGCTCAGAATATGGCTCAAATTGGGCAAAATTGCTGATGCGTAAAAATCGCCGAGACTGCTAACTTCACAAGTGTGTAATTCCTTAACTTTTCCATCAAATTTCATGCTTGTGGCTTCATTCCCTTCGAAAAAAGATTCTCTATCATTTCATAAGTATTTTTTTTTTTTTAATTCTTCAACTCTGTGAGCAAGTTTGCTAGCAGGGGTTGCGGCCCTCAGAGGGTTAATATAATAATAATAATAATAATAATAATAACAATAACAATAATCCCTCTGGGGCACTTTAAATGTCTTATTTTGTGTAACTAACGAACAGAGAACTTATTATTTTAGTGCCAGGAATGTCTTTCTTGTTTATTCTGAACCCTATTCGGAAATTGGCATCTTTTGAAATTTGTGTGAAATTGGCAAAATTGCTAAATTCTGACCACTTTATTGGATAGTTGAAATCGGTAAATGGGTGGTTTCTTGTACTTATTTGATAGAAAAAATGGAGTTCTAGCAAAATAGTTATGATTTTTGACGACTAGTACACTAGAATTGGCCATAAAAAGGGCTCAAAGTGGGCAAAATCGCCGATGTGTAAACATGGTCAAGACCACTAACTTCGTGAGAGCATAATTCCGTAAGTTTCCCATCAAATTTCATACTTTTGGTGTCATTATGATCGGGAAAAGAATTTTTTTTTTTTTTTTTGTTTTTTAAATTTTGGCGACCCTGAGAACAAGTCTCTGAGAGGGCCTGGCGACCCCCAAAGGGTTAATGTATTATCACTAATTAGATTTTTTTTCATTGAATTACTGAATTCCTCCAGTATAATATAAATTAAGTACTCCTGTTCTCATGTACTAGTAATCATAATTTAGTTTTAAGGCTGCCCAAAATGCCTTGCATAATAAGGGGCTTTCTATAAAGTAGATTATGTATATCAATTATGCTAATTTTATAATATACTGTACCCACATTATAGAAAGCTTTTATTTTTTGTGTATTTGTAGGACTGTAGAATACAGTGACACTTTTTGTGCTGCAGTAATTTTAGTGTATTTATAATAATGAAGAATACAGTGATATATCTTGTGCTACAGTAATCTTGGTGCACTTGTAGGAAAGCAGGATATAATGATTCTTCTTTTGTTACAGTGCTACACATGTATTACATCTCTTTGTTCATAATATAAAGAAAGTGCTAGTTTGTTCTTAATATAATCCAAATACCGGTGCTCCTCGTTTTACGATAATCTGACTTACGATATTTCGACTTCACGATGCTGCAATAGCAGTACACATTCTGGGTGATGGCAAGCCAAACTTTCAATCTCTGTAGCAATCGCCAGTGTAAACATCTCATTTATTTTTCATTTCTGTTATTAAATTAGTTACAGTAATTATTTGTTTATTTACTTATTCAGTTGATTCCTGTCTACCAGTCAGTACATGCAGTGTTCTCATATTATTTGCATCATTTGTGCTCATGTGTAAGTGTGCTGGAGACAGTGTTTATATACGAATTGAGATGGCAGACTCGAACTGCACTTGTCCATGAGGGACTTCCAGTGTTTATCTGCTTATCTTCTTTTGCATAGTAAAGGTTAAAAAGTGAAAGGACCCTGGATGTAATATGTACCTATTTCATATGTATTTGTGCATCAGTTTAGTTGATACACTTGTACTGTATTTTGTAAGTCCACTGAATGTGGTGCACACTTACCACACTGACCCATTTTCTCACATATTGGCCCAAATTTACCACTCGCAGCTTATCTGAGTGAGCCGAGCTCATCACATAGTTCTACGGCACAGACAGAGACTTTAACCCTTTGACTGTTTTGGTCGTATATATACGTCTTACGCGCCACTGTTTTGGACATATTAATACGCGTAAATTCTAGCGGCTTCAAATCAAGCAGGAGAAAGCTGGTAGGCCCACATGTGAGAGAATGTGTCTGTGTGGTCAGTCTGCACCGCATAAAAAAATCCTGCAGCACCCAGTGCATAATGAGAAAAAAAAAACTGACCGTTTTTTTGGATTAAAACACTGACTTTGAGGTGTGTTTTCGTATAGTATTTATCGTTGCATTCTCATTTTCATGGTCTCATGTGATAAAATGGAAAACATATTACAGAAATAGAGATGATTTTGATTAGTTTCATGATGAAAACGACCTTGAAATTGAGCTCAAAGTAGCGGAATTGTTTGATTTTTACCAATGTTCAGGAGTAAGCAAATCACATCACATGTCCAACACATATCAACTGGGGAGTCTAATATTCTTTCACTAGTGCACTGATATGATTTATACCATTTTTACAATAATGCAGTAGTCTACATAACAGTAAATTTTGTATATTTTGTTTGAATAAAAGATCAAAATAGAAAGCAATAGTAATATAAGAGGGGCCTAGGGACATGACTAATGAACAGAGGATATGTTATTTTAGTGCCAAGAATGTCTACATTGTTTATTCTGGACCCTATTTTGAAATTGGCCTTTTTTTTTTAATTTGCGTAAAATTGCCCAAATTACCAATTTCTGACCACTTTATTGGGTAGTTCAAATCGGTAAATAGGTGGTTTCTTGTACTTAACTGATAGAAAAGATGGAGTTCTAAAGAAATAGCTATGAGTTTGGTCAACTGGAACAATGGAATTGGCCAAAAACAGGGCTCAAAGTCGGCTAAATCGCCAATGCATATATGTCGCCGAGACCGCTAACTTCACGGGAGCGTAATTCCGTGAGTTTTCAACCAAATTTCATACTTTTGGTGTCATTACCACCGGGAAAAGATTCTCTATCATTTCATAAGAAAAAAATTATTTTTTTTTTTTTTTCCAAAAATTTTACGACATAGAATGACAGTTTCAGAAAGGGGCTTGCGACAGTCAAAGGGTTAATTTGCGTGAAATTGGCCAAATTGCCAATTTCTGACCACTTTATTGGGTAGTTGAAATCAGTAAATGGGCAGTTTCTTGTACTCAATTGATAGAAAAATGGAGTTCTATAGAAATACCCATGAGTTTGGTCGACTGGAACAATGGAATTGGCTGAAAATAGGGCTCAAAGTTGGCAAAATCGCCAATGCGTGTATATCACCGACATCAATAATTTTGCGGGAGCATAATTCCATAAATTTTCGATCAAATTTTGTACTTTTGGTGTCATTGCCATCGGGAAAAGATTCTCTATCATTTCATAATATTTTTTTTTTTTCTTTTTCAAAAATTTTACGACACCTGGAGATACTTCAGGATTTGGGGTTGCGACAGTCAAGGGGTTAAACCCCTAGTATACTATGGCATAGACAGCGAAAGGGTTAAAGCAAATCACAGCATTTTTTCTCACTTGCCAGTGCATATAAAAGAATAAAAAATGTTTACACTTACACTGTCATTTATTACTTGTGCAATAGCACTGGGCCTAAAATAGATACAAAGGTAAAATTGGTAAGTCATTTTTTTTTTAATTGCTGAAAGCCATCTTAACATGGCAAGTGCCGAAAATAATAAACATGAATATAATTAAAATGTGCCATCATAGTGAAGTGTTCTAAAGTGAGCACCATATTAATGAGGTATGCCTGTACTTATATGCATAACAGAAATGACAGAAATTTCCATACATGCAAGCATTTTTATATCAGCTTACAAGCTTTTTCACTTGTGTTGAGTAACACTGTCTTGTACCAATGTCCAGCAGTAGTCAAGTCAAGAAACTGATCATAGGTTCCCCTGATATCTCTTCTCCATGTTAGCTGTCTTGGTGAAATCATTCAATGTGAGGTTCTGTTTCACAGAAACTGTATTTAGCAAAAACTAACTTCAGATTTGAATTCAGTGTCTCCAAATTAGTTAGAAACACAAGTTTTTAAATGCCATTTGAAACCATTGTTGGCCAGCGTTACAGAAACAGTTGTGTGTTGCTTGAGCCCTCCTCCAACACAATGCTTCTTGAGTGAAGGAATAACCATATAATTTATATCCATACACAAATAATCCGAACATAGAAGAGAGGAGCTTACGACGACGTTTCGGTCCAACTTGGACCATTTTCAAAGCCACAGTGTGACTTTGTAAATGGTCCAAGTCGGACCGAAACATTGTTGTAAGCTCCTCTTTTCTATGTGCAGGTTATCTGTGTATCGTTCCAGTCACGGTATTGTGCCTTTTTTTGTTATTAATTTATTTCCAGTATTTCTAAAACTGTTGATATATTAACAGAAATAGATTTACTAAAAGGTCTCATTCAGCTCTTCTTTTACAGCTGGTGTTTACAGTGTCAGTACTGTAGTAAACATACCTTGCTGACACCCAGTATCAGCACACTGAAGAAAATGGCAAAAGCAGAGATGAGCTAGTGTCAGCACCAAGTTTAATGAAAAATACTACACTGCAGTACTGAGTACAACTACTGTCAGCACCAAGACTGAAGTGCTGAGTACAACTACTGTCAGCATTGTTTCAGTGCAACTGACAGTTTGTGTGTTCACTCCTGTTGTCAGTATTTGACTGTACTGTTTGGGAAATCTTGTAATTTCCAACTTTCAATGGAATTAAGGTAACAAAGACATGGTGCAGTTCACATATTATATCTCACATTAATAGTGTGAAAGACCATTTAAAAGAATCCTAACTCATGATTGTTTTCTACTTTTAAGTAACAGTTTTTACATTCTTTCCTTCCATGAAACTATTATGATGGTCATAGTCTTACCCATTCTGTGAAAAATTAGTCATAATCATACCTGCTACTATGAAAATGTTAGCAAAAGTCTAATCCCTATTATGAAGTCTTACCCCCTATTATGAAAATAATAGTCACAATCTTTTCACTAATTTCACTTATTTCCTTGAAATATTCCTCACTTATCCTTATGCTGATGTCTCTTTGATTTTTTCATTGTAAAATACAAGTGAAGACACTGCATGAATCAAGTTAATTATTTATTATATTAATTATCATGAAAAAAAAAACCAACAAGAAACAGTTTATTGATAAAATCTTTACCAGTTACAGTATGGTTATCAGTTTCTTATAAAAGTTTTATTTGTGTAGTCATTATATTTATGATATAGAAAGTAAATATGTATAAATGTACCTTATATATGATGAAATAAGATTTGAGTTTTGTTTATGGAATATTTAAAGTTACACGACCTGCCCCAGCACCCACTTAAATAACTTACACGACCTGCCCCAGCACCCACTTAAATAACTTACACGACTTGCCCCAACACCCACTTAACTTACATGACCTGCCATAACATCCACTTAACTTACACAACCTGCCCCAGCACCCACTTAACTTACACGACCTACCCCAGCACCCACTTAACTTACACGACCTGCCCCAGCACCCGCTTAACTTACACGACCTGCCCCAGCACCCGCTTAACTTACACGACCTGCCCCAGCACCCACTTAGCTTACATGACCTGCCCCAGCACCTGCTTAATTTACACGACCTGCCCCAGCACCCACTTAAACAACTTACTCAACCTGCACAAGCACCCACTTAAAAATTTACACAACCTACACAAGCACCCACTTAAAAAACTTACACAACCTACACAAGCACCCACTTAAAAAACTTACACAGCCTACATAAGCACCCACTTAAAAAACTTACACAACCTACACAAGCACCCACTTAAAAAACTTACACAACCTGCACAAGCACACACTTAAACATCTTCACTAAGAACAAAACACACGTTTCTAAAACATTCTTAACATCTATTTCAGTTTTCGTCCTGAGTAATTTTGGAACTTTTTTAGTTAAGCAGAAGAGGTTTCACACATTACGTAAAATTAACACTAATCATTAAAATTTACAAGTACAAAAAATACATTGTAATACTTGGTAGTGGATTCAAACCTCTTTGTAAATAGTTTGTGACTTATGTTTCACATTAAATTGTGTTGGTTACAAAAGTTCATGTGAAAAGAATTTCCTATAAGTTGTCAGTGTTTTTTTGTGTGGAAAAGCCTTCATTGCAGACTATATTAACCCTTTTACTGTCGAGACTCTTGCTCGCACACTTGCTCTCAGTGTTGAAGAATTTAAAAAAAAATTATTTTGTCTTACAAAATAATAGAGAATCTTTTCCCCGTGGTAATGACACCAAAAGTATGAAATTTGATGGAAAACTTACAGAATTATGCTCTCACGAATTTAGCGATCTTGGCAATACAGTGGACCCCCGGTTAACAATATTTTTTCACTCCAGAAGTATGTTCAGGTGCCAGTACTGACCGAATTTGTTCCCATAAGGAATATTGTGAAGTAGATTAGTCCATTTCAGACCCCCAAACATACACGTACAAACGCACTTACATAAATACACTTACATAATTGGTCGCATTCGGAGGTGATCGTTATGCGGGGGTCCACTGTATATATGCATCGATAATTTTGCCCACTTTGAGCCCTATTTTCAGCCAATTCCATTGCTCCAGTCGACCAGACTCATAGATATTTCACTAGAACTCCATTTGTTCTGTCGATTGAGTACAAGAAACCGCCCATTTACCGATTTCAACTGCCCAATAAAGTGGTCAGAAATTCGCATTTTGACCAATTTCACACAAATTTCAAAAGATGCCAATTTCAGAATAGGGTCCAGAAAACATTCTTGGCACTAAAATAACATTTTCTCTGTTCATTAGTCACATCTCTAGGCCCCTCTTATATTACTCTTGCTTTCCATTTTGAATTTTTATTCACACAAAAAATAGAAGATTTACTGTTATGCAGACTACTGCGTTGTTGTAAGAATTGCATAAATAATGTCAACCCATTCATGACTGCATATTAGACTGGCCAGTTGGACACATATTTGATGATGACATCATTTGTTTACTCTTGAACATTGGCAAAAATTGCACATTTCCACTACTTTGACCTCAATTTCAAGGTACTTTTCATCGTGAAACCAATCAAAATCATCTCTATATCTGTAGTATATTATTCATTCTATAAATTGAGACCAAGGAAACGAGAATACAACCATAAATATACCATACAAAAACACACCTCAAATTTGGCATTTTAAACCTAAAACACCTTTGGAGTTTTTTTTCTCTCATTATGCACTGCATGCTGCTGGATTTTTTTTATGCTGCACTCACTGACCATGCAGACCCTTTCTCTCACATATAGGTCTACTAGCTTTCTCCCGCTAGATTTGAGGCCTCTAGAATTTTGGGGTATTAATACGTCACCAACACATGCTTGTAAGCCATACCTATATGTTACTGACAGTGAGAGGGTTAACTGTGAGACAATAGGAGGAGAAAGTACAAAATGTGAGTACAATAAGTCTGTTGTTATGTGAAGTTCAGTAAGTCTGTTATGTGAAGTACAGTAAGTCTGTTATGTGAAGTTCAGTAAGTCTGTTATGTGAAGTACAGTAAGTCTGTTATGTGAAGTACAGTAAGTCTGTTATGTGAAGTTCAGTAAGTCTGTTATGTGAGTACAGTAAGTCTGTTGTTGTGTGAAGTACAGTAAGTCTGTTATGTGAAGTTCAGTAAGTCTGTTATGTGAAGTACAGTAAGTCTGTTATGTGAAGTTCATTAAGTCTGTTATGTGAAGTACAGTAAGTCTGTTATGCGAAGTGGTGCATATTAAGTATTAAAATCTTAAAATAAAGGCAACATGAAGGTAGTAAAGAAACTCCATCAGTGTCCTGTTTGTGAAAAAGCTTTTCCAACTAATTATAAACTCATGAGACATAACAGTATTCATACAGGAAAGAAGCCATATCATTGTCCAGAATGTCTAAAAAGCTTTATTGATAAATCTTCACTAAGAATTCATCAGAGAGTTCATACAGGAGAGAAACCATATCAGTGCTCAGTGTGTTTGAAAGGTTTTATTGATAAATCCTCACTAAAAAAACATCAGAGAATGCATACAGGAGAGAAGCCATTTCAGTGTTCAGTGTGTCACAAAGATTTTAGACATAGGGGTCACTTGAACTCACACATGTTGCTTCATACTGGAGAGAAGCCATATCATTGTTCAGTTTGTCTGGAAGACTTTACTGAAAAATCCTCACTAAATAAACATCAGAGAATTCATACAGGAGAGAAACTATATGAATGTTCAGTGTGTCTAAAAGACTTTAGTAATAAATCATCACTAAGAATTCATCAGAGAATTCATACAGGAGAAAAGCCATATCAATGCTCAGTGTGTCTGAAAGACTTCATTGATAAATCCTCACTAAAACAACATCAGAGAGTTCACACAGGAGAGAAGCCATTTCAGTGTCCAGTGTGTCAGAAAGACTTTAGACAAACAGGTCACCTGAATTCACACATGAGACTTCACACTGGAGAGAAGCCATATCAGTGCTCAGTGTGTTCAAAATTATTTTCAGTAAAATGTGCTCTGGTAAAACATATGCGCTATCATACAGGAGAGAAGCCATATCAGTGCTCAGTGTGCCTGAAAGACTTTATTGATAAATCCTCTCTAAAACAACATCAAACAGTTCATACAGGAGAAAAGCCATATCATTGTTCAGTGTGTCTGAAAAACTTTACTGTTAGATCCTCATTAAAAAAACATCAGAGAATTCATACTAGAGAGAAGCCATACCAGTGCTCAGTGTGTATGGAACAATTTTTGTTAAAATGTTCTCTAGAGAAACATATAAAGACTCATACAGAAGAAAAAACAAATCAGTGTCCAGAGTGTCAAAAAGTGTTTTCAAGTGACATTGTTTTACTTAAGCACATGACACTTCACAAAGAACATAAGCCATACAGGTGTTCAAAGTGTCAGAAAGGCTTTTCACTAGAGAAGAGTTTAGTAAAACATTTAAAAAGCCATACAGGAGAAACACAATACAAATGTTCAGAGTATCGGGAAGGCTTTCCCAGACAAGCAAATATAATATTGCATCAAAAAATTCATGAGGCAGAAAAACCACATAATTGCTCACTGTGTTCACAAAGTTTTTCACAAAAATTACAATTTGAAAATCACATGAGAGGTCACAACACAGAGGAACAATATCAGTGTTCAAGGTGTCTGGAAAGTTTTTCCCATATAACTCACCTAGTGAATCATATGATAACTCATGTATGAGACACAATGTATAGTAATGTTAAGTGTTTTAAAAACATTTTAAGATCATCTCATCATGTAAAATCTCTTATGTCTGGTTATTTCAGCAGGAAAATCCAAGTGAAATTGATGCTCTTTATTAGAAATATATATGTGGGACATATTTAACATGTGGTAAAAGAACACAATTCTAAAATAACAGAAAGGCAAGACTAAATTACTCTTAAAAATACAATTTGGTTTATTCCTACCCATCTAGTACACTTAAAAATACAGGTTCTTTTATTTCTTCTTGTCTAGTTCAGCTTATCATAAATCAGATTCACCGAACACTGTCATTCATGAGAATACTTTTTTAGTGAAACAACAGAATTATTGGAATCCTTAATTTTCCAGGGGATGGCTGGGGTTGCAGTGAACATTGCAGGTCTCCTCATCCAAGGAATTGGATATCTCTTTCCATTGAGGTTTCTTGTAATGGTGAAAGGATTCTTTGATCTGAGACATAATTATTTCTTTTTCCCTTCCTCAGATCAAGTTTGAATATCGCCATTAATCACTCTTCTTTTTTTTTCTCTGTTGAGACATTTTTACATTTGTAAAACTCTTTGTCTTGCAGAAAGTAAAATATTTAATGTTGCAGTTGTGTTCCAGCATTTATTATAATGGTAATGTTGTGTCACTCTACCTGTACAATATTGTACCATCATGGAAGTCCCCTACCATGAACTATTATAGAGGTACCTTGCCTTCAACTATCACCATTACCATGAACTATTATCAAGGTCCCCTACCATGAGCTAACATAGAAGTCCCCTATGAAGAACTATGATGGTAGTCACCTGCCATGAACTATCATGGTAGTCCCCTACCATGAACTATCATGGAGCTTGTCTACCATGAACTATCATGGAGGTGCCCTACCTTGAACTATCATGGAGCTTGACTACCACGAACTCATGGAGGTACCCTACCATGAGCTGTCATGGAGATACCCTACCATGAGCTGTCATGGAGGTACCCTACCATGAGCTGTCATGGAGGTACCCTACCATGAACTGTCATGGAGGTACCCTACCATGAGCTAACATGGAAGTCCTCTATGATGAACTATCATGGTAGTCCCCTACCATGAACTATCATGGAGCTTGACTACCATGAACTGTCATGGAGGTTTCCTCATGAGCTAACATAGAAGTCCTCAATGATGAACTATCATGGAGGTATCCTACCATGAACTATCATGGAGGTACCCTACCATGAACTATCATGGAGGTACCCTACCATGAACTATCATAGAGGTACCCTACCATAAACTATCATGGAGGTACCCTACTATGAACTATCATGGAGGTACCCTACCATGAACTATCATGGAGGTATCCTACCATGAAATATCATGGAGGTACCCTACCATGAAGTATCATGGTGGTCCCCTATAATGAACTATCATGGAGGTCCCCTACCATGAACTATCATGGAGGTCCCCTACCACGAACTATCATGGAGGTCTGCTACCATGAACTATCATGGAGGACCCCTACCATGAACTATTATGGAGGTCCCTACCATGAGCTATTATGATAGTCCCCTACCATGAACTATCATGGAGGTCTCCTCCCATAAACTATCATGGAGGTCCCCTACCATGAACTGTCATGGAGGTCCCCCATGATGAGCTATCATGGTAGTCCTCTACCATGAACTATCATGGAGCTTGACTACCATGAACTATCATGGAGATCCCAACCATGAACTATCATGGAGGTCCCCTACCATGAACTATCATGGAGATCCCAACCATGAACTATCATGGTGGTCCCCTATAATGAACTATCATGGGGTCCCCTACCATGAACTATCATGGAGGTCCCCTACCATGACTATCATGGAGGTACCCTACCATGAACTATCATGGAGGTCTCCTACCATGAACTATCATGGAGGTTCCCTACCATAAACTATCATGGAGGTCCCCTACCATAAACTATCATGGAGGTCCCCTACCATGAACTATCATGGTGGTTCCCTACCATGACTATCATTGAGATACCCTACCATGAACTATTGTTGAGGTTTACCATGAACTGTCATGGAAGTTCCCTACCATGAACTCATGGAGGTACCCTACCCTGAACTGTCAATGAGGTACCCTACCATGAACTGTCATGGAGGTACCCTACCATGAGCTATTATGATAGTCCCCTACCATGAACTATCATGGAGGTCTCCTACCATGAATTATCATGGAGGTCTCCTACCATGAACTATCAGGGAGGTCCCCTATGATGAGCTATCATGGTAGTCCTCTGCCATGAACTATCTTGGAGCTTGACTACCATGAACTATCATGGAACTTGACTACCATGAACTGTCATGGAGCTTGACTACCATGAACTATCATGGAGATCCCAACCATGAACTATCATGGAGGTCCCCTACCATGAACTATCATGGGGTCCCCTACCATGAACTATCATGGGGTCCCCTACCATGAACTATCATGGAGGTCCCCTACCATGAATATCATGGAGGTCTCCTACCATGAACTATCATGGAGGTCCCCTACCATGACTATCATGGAGGTACCCTACCATGAATATCATGGAGGTCTCCTACCATGAACTATCATGGAGGTCCCCTACCATAAACTATCACGGAGGTCCCCTACCATAAACTATCATGGAGGTCCCCTACCATGAACTATCATGGTGGTTCCCTATCATGACTATCATTGAGCTACCCTGCCATGAACCATCGTTGAGGTTAACTACCATGAACTGTCATGGAAGTTCCATACCATGAACTGTCATGGAGGTACCCTACCCTGAACTGTCAATGAGGTACCCTACCATGAACTGTCATGGAGGTACCCTACTATTAGCTAACATAGAAGTCCTCTATGATGACCTGTCATGGTAGTTACCTACCATGAACTATCATTAAGCTTGACTACCATGAACTGTCATGGAGGCTCCCTACCATGAACTGTCATGGAGACCCCCTACCATGAACTATCATGGAGGTCCCCTACCATGAACTATCATGGTGGTACCCTACCATGAACTATCATGGAGGTCCCTTACCATGAACTATCATGGTGCCCTACCATGAACTATCATGGAGATCCCTAACCATGAACTATCATGGAAGTCTCCTACCATGAACAATCATGGAGGTCTCCTACCATGAGCTATCATGGAGGTTCCCTACCATGAACAATCATGGAGGTCTACCATGAGCTATCATGGAGGTTCCCTGCCATGAACTATCATGGAGGTCCCCTATCATTAACTATCATGAAGGTTCCCTACCATGAACTGTCATGGAGGTCCCCTACCATGAACTATCATGGAGGTCCCCTATCATGAACTATCATGGAGGTTCCCTATCTTGAACTATTATGAAGGTCCCCTATCATGAACTATCATGGAGGTACCCTTCCATGAACTTACATGGAGGTACTCTACCATGAACTATCATAGAGGTGCCCTACCATGAACTATCATGGAGGTTCCCTATCATGAACTATTATGAAGGTCCCCTACCATGAACTTTCATGGAGGTACCCTTCCATGAACTTACATGGAGGTACCCTACCATTAACTATCATGGAGGTACCCTACCATGAACTATCATAGGGTACCCTAGCATGAACTATCATGGAGGTACCCTACCATGAACTATCATAGGGTACCCTACCATGAACTATCATTGTACTGTCAGTTTGAAGCCTGTGGAGTCAGTGAGGGATCAATCAGGGATCACTGTGTGATCAGTGAGGGATCACTGTAATGTCAGTGAGGGATCACTGTAGGGTCAGTGAGGGATCACTGTAGGGTCAGTGAAGGATCACTGTGGGGTCAGTGAGGGATCACTGTTGGGTCTGTGAGGGATCACTGGGATCACTGTGGGGTCAGTGAGGGATCACTGTGGGGTCTGTGAGGGATCACTGGGATCAGTGAGGGATCACTGTGGGGTCAGTGAGGGATCACTGGGATCAGTGAGGGATCACTGTGGGGTCAGTGAGGGATCACTGTGGGGTCAGTGAGGGATCACTGTGGGGTCAGTGAAGGATCACTGTGGGGTCAGTGAAGGATCACTGTAGGGTCAGTGAAGGATCACTGTGGGGTCAGTGAAGGATCACTGTGGGGTCAGTGAAGGATCACTGTGGGGTCAGTTAGGGATCACTGGGATTGTCAGCATAGTTGCTGATCCCTGTATTCCCAGTATTATATAGCATAGCATATTAGTATCATCCATGTGCTTTACATACGAGGTTCCTTGTAGGCCTGTGGCTTTGTGTGACGTCACGGGATACAGATGTGTAGGCTCATACCTCTGCCCCGGCCTCACTCAGCGGCAGACCATTCAGCGGACAGGCAAGGCAGCTGGGCTCCATCCCTCATCTCAGTCTGACAGTATATAGATACCATCCTACAAGTGTGTCTACCTTCAACCTACGATATCTCCATTTAGGAACCCTTTACGATAGGATCAGTGAGGGATCACTGTGGGGGCCAGTGAAGGATCACTGTGGGGTCAGTGAGGGATCACTGTGGGGTCAGTGAAGGATCACTGTGGGGTCAGTGAGGGATCACTGTGGGGTTAGTGAAGGATCACTGTGGGGTCAGTGAGGGATCACTGTGGGGTCAGTGAGGGATCACTGTGGGGTCAGTGAGGGATCACTGTGGGGTCAGTGAGGGATCACTGTGGGGTCAGTGAGGGATCACTGTGGGGTCAGTGAAGGATCACTGTGGGGTCAGTGAAGGATCACTGTGGGGTCAGTGAAGGATCACTGTGGGGTCAGTGAAGGATCACTGTGGGGTCAGTGAAGGATCACTGTGGGGTCAGTGATGGATCACTGTGGGGTCAGTGAGGGATCACTGTGGGGTCAGTGAGGGATCACTGTGGGGTCAGTGAAGGATCACTGTGGGGTCAGTGAAGGATCACTGTGGGGTCAGTGAAGGATCACTGTGGGGTCAGTGAAGGATCACTGTGGGGTCAGTGAAGGATCACTGTGGGGTCAGTGAGGGATCACTGTGGGGTCAGTGAGGGATCACTGTGGGGTCAGTGAGGGATCACTGTGGGGTCAGTGAAGGATCACTGTGGGGTCAGTGAAGGATCACTGTGGGGTCAGTGAAGGATCACTGTGGGGTCAATGAAGGATCACTGTGGGGTCAGTGAAGGATCACTGTGGGGTCAGTGAAGGATCACTGTGGGGTCAGTGAGGGATCACTGTGGGGACAGTGAAGGATCACTGTGGGGTCAGTGAAGGATCACTGTGGGGTCAGTGAGGGATCATTGTGGGGTCAATGAAGGATCACTGTGGGGTCAGTGAGGGATCACTGTGGGGTCAGTGAAGGATCACTGTGGGGTCAGTGAGGGATCACTGTGGGGTCAGTGAGGGATCACTGTGGGGTCAGTGAGGGATCACTGTGGGGTCAGTGAAGGATCACTGTGGGGTCAGTGAGGGATCACTGTGGGGTCAGTGAAGGATCACTGTGGGGTCAGTGAGGGATCACTGTGGGGTCAGTGAGGGATCACTGTGGGGTCAGTGTGGGATCACTGTGGGGTCAGTGAAGGATCACTGTGGGGTCAGTGAGGGATCACTGTGGGGTCAGTGAGGGATCACTGTGGGGTCAGTGAGGGATCACTGTGGGGTCAGTGAGGGATCACTGTGGGGTCAGTGAGGGATCACTGTGGGGTCAGTGAGGGATCACTGTGGGGTCAGTGAGGGATCACTGTGGGGTCAGTGAGGGATCACTGTGGGGTCAGTGAAGGATCACTGTGGGGTCAGTGAGGGATCACTGTGGGGTCAGTGAGGGATCACTGTGGGGTCAGTGAGGGATCACTGTGGGGTCAGTGAAGGATCACTGTGGGGTCAGTGAAGGATCACTGTGGGGTCAGTGAAGGATCACTGTGGGGTCAGTGAAGGATCACTGTGGGGTCAGTGAAGGATCTGGGTGTTTACTTGGATTCTTCACTATAATTATTGAACATATCAAGCTGATTGTTAAATCTTTCAGTTTTAATATTAATAATCTGTGCATTAAGGAAGTATTATGATACACATCTTGTGCATGAGTTTGTTTCCTTTCAAATTAATTTCTCAATTGTTTGTGGGTTTGTCTTACTACCTCCTTAATGACTTTGTTGCTGAATGTGCAGCTGGATTAGTATTTTCACTTGCAGTTTCCACTAGTCTCTTCTTGTATCAGCAGTACACAGATAACCCGCACATAAAAGAGAGAAGCTTACGACGACGTTTCGGTCCGACTTGGACCATTGACAAAGTCACGGTCCAAGTCGGACTGAAACGTCGTCGTAAGCTTCTCTCTTTTATGTGCGGGTTATTTGTGTATCGTTCCAGTCACGGTATTGTGCCTTTTTGTTATTTATTTGTATCAGCAGCATTGACTCAGTATCAAGGCAAGAATTTAATTAGATCTGTTTATTAACATTTGAAGTTAGTAAATTTAAATATATGCTTTTACATTAGGTTCAGCAATGTTTCTACGAATTGCTGAAGATCTCCTGCTGTTGGGCAGAAATTATTTGAAGGGAGAGTCTTACATAGCTGCCAGACTGTATAACAGTTTACCAGTGTCTGTTAAGTCTTACATAGCTGCCAGACTGTATAACAGTTTACCAGTGTCTGTTAAGTCTTACATAGCTGTATGTTGCTGTTGATGATCATACTGTCACTTATGTTGCTGTTGATGATCTTACTGTTACTCTTATAATTCTTATTGTGAATTTGTGAAAGGAACAGGTACTTTCGAATTATAAAATCTCCTATTATTATTATTATTATTATTATTATTATTATTATTATTATGATTATTATTATTGTTATTGTAAGTGAGATAGGTATAGTTTAGAGAGCAGCATAATGCTGTTTATGGAACATAGTCTGTAGTTTTGTAAATTTTCTTAAATGTGTGTTGAATTTGAAGCTGCAGTCATGGTCAGTTCATCTATCATCATTGTATCATGCAGGAGGAGCCACATGTCTGTGGTGCATCCAACAAAATAAGCAGACTCTTGGATGTCACTACCGCCTCTGCCTAGCTCCGGCTGGGTTACCAGTGTCTCTGGAAGGTTTAATCACCACCACCAGATGTAGACCAAACTAAATGTAAACTTTGCCAGATGGACTATTGTCACACCTTCCATCACATTATGGAACGCAATAAAATTGTTGAATTCGGAGACAACTCACTCAGAAATGTTTGTGAAATGTCTAAGTATTTTATCCATAGTGGTGTATCAACAACCATTCTGGAAAAATACCCTGATTTTGCCCACTGTAATGCAATAAACACTTATGCTTGAAATAAAAAAATAAAGCTTATCTTGCTACAATATAAAGTAATATTTTTATGTTTTTTTTGTTTTGTGTGACTTAATTCATGTCTGCATAAATAACTTATTATGACCATAACCAAATATAAACATATAAATAGTTTATATAAATAGTTCATTACCACTAACAATTTAGCTATCAGAACTTTGTGGCCCAGACCCTGGACCCATTATATGCCCAATGGATGGGTATGGGGTACGTAATAAAGATATTAAAATAAGTCACGGTGTGTAATTCAGGATTTTCCCTCGTCTTATCATTTTGTGAGTGAATCATTTTTGTACTGAATGTTTTGTATCTTTATATTCAAAGTGTAGAACATATTAATATCAACAGTAAATTTATTGGTTGTTACCTCAATAGGAATCTTCATGAGTTCATCACTGACAGTTTTGATGGGGACAACATGAAGTACAGTAGACCGTTATATTACACAGATTTAATTGCCACATTTTGGTTATTGCCCTGTTGAAAAATTGCAGCACAATTTTATACAACACTTCATAAAATTAACTTTACATGGTTCCGTTTGCGTGCTACCAGCTAGCTAGCTAGCTAGGTACAGTCCGTGCGCAGAAAAAAATTCCCTAGCTCAAGCTGCCGCCTTGTTGTGGGTCAGCGGGGTAGACCTCCCGCCATCCCCTGTCACCCCTAACACACCTGTCATCCCCATCCTATTCTTCATGAATATGTGTCCAGTACGAATGCTCCCAAGGAGGTAGCTGTGCTTGTGAATTGCATTTTGATCTTTTAATTATCTTATTTTGTAACTGCCAAGCAATCAAGGCACCCAGTAGGCAAACCAGTGTTGCTGAAAGTGGCAAGGAAAGGTATAAGCATTTAAGTCTTAGAGTTAATGAAGAAAGTAGAGATATTAGACAAGAGATAACCTGTGGCCATAATGAAACATCACTTTGTGCAATGAAAAAGAATGAGGTAAATATATAAATTTGTGTGATGAATAACTGGACTGACTTGACTTGACTTGACTTGACTTACTGACTTGACTGACTTACTTGACTGACTTGACTGGCTTGACTGATTGATTTACTTGACTGATTGACTGACTTGACTCATTTGATCGACTGACTGACTTGACTGATTTACTGACTGACTTAAAGTTAGACTTTCACTGAAGAGGACCCTGAAACAGTGTCTAGAGCAGCTGATGTCTTACCCTAGGTTGTATAATGTACTGCAGAGTAAAACAGAACAGAAATCCATTACAGAATTTATGCACACTCCAGTATAACCATCAACTTCAGTACCAGAACCTCTACCATCCACCTCAGCCCAGTAGGACCACAACATAACTCTCCACTCTCTTCACAATCATCCACAAACACCAGCACCCACAATTTAAGGTAAGAAATACTATTATTTTTGTTACATTTGTAGTCTTAACCAGTAAAAACAACATAATACATCATGACAATGAACTACAGTTACATATTCATTTTTATTTTTGTAAGATCTGGAGGTCTGAAAAAAAGTTGTTTGGCTTTTTTGGGGCTCCCAGAAATGTAGCCCTATTTTTCCCATAAGCTCTTCAGTTTATCTAACACGGATTTACCTAACACTGTGTTTTCAGGAACGTTACTACCGTGTATTATAAAGGTCTACTGTAGATGTAATGTGAGGAAAGTTGTCATTGGTAAAAAGACTGGTCTGAGTTCCTGGGAGACTGTGATGTAGGAGTGTATTATTTAACATATCAGGTCACAATAGGACCTGACTGTCTAGTGATAATTTGCCACACCCTGGTCATGCCACAGAGGTGTTAATACAGTCGGAATCCCTGGAAGGAACACTTGGCTTTTCAGGTCTTACTGTTCGAGAAGGCGAACATTCATTAAATTAAGGAATAACTGACTCTTCTTGTGTAAATCACAGGTGATACGCCCCCCAAGGAGTGTGACCTCAGGACTTTGAAGTTAAGTTGGGGAGGGGAGTGTTTGTCTGTAAGACCATATAAACTCAGGGAGACGACTGAAAAATGGAGAGACTTTTTGGAGAGTTGGACCAGTGTGTGTCGAGTCAACATAGGGCTCAGCCCTGTTCAGCTTGTTGGTGACTTAAGAATGAGTACAAAATCCTTGTTTATTGGAAGTATTTCCCCTCCTGGTAATAAGCCCCATAGACCAGATATGTAATATTTATTCTTAAGGTAAATTGTGTATTTCCTCTTTTATTTTTTAAGTAAACTATAGCTATTTTTCCCATTCTTATTTTTTAACCTCATATGCCATTACCTCTTTATTAAGAAGCATTGCAGT